CTTCTTCTTCTTCTTCTTCTTCTTCTTCTTCTTCTTCTTCTTCTTCTTCTTCTTCTTCTTCTTCTTCTTCTTGTTGTTGTTGTTGTTGTTGTTGTTCTTCTTCAGATCAGAAAGGGTGGGCAGCAAGAGAAGCTTGCAGAAGGATAGAAATATAGTTATAACCAGCAACAAGCAAGAGCTGGAACTCCTCCATCACATCCAAGAATGATCCCAGCTAAAAAGACCCCACCAGTAGTCACCATCAGCAAGACACACTGAAGCACCATCAGAATAAGGAACCCCAAAAAGGGAAGAAAATGTTTGAGAAATCACAAGACAGATTTTGACATCAGCTAGGATTTCAATATGTATTCTGTGATTGTTAAAAAATAAAACAGCAGGAGGTTTTGTTTCCCTACAACTAGGCCAATTTGAGAGCTTTGGGGCAGGCGGCTCATTTGTAGAAAAGATTCTGCCGCTTCAGGAAGTGGTTCACAATGATCAAAGGTTCGACTACTTCCGAAACCCAGCAAGGCATATCTATTTCCAGAAATGCATCACCTACCCCCTGCGACAGCCTGTTCTGGGGGAGCCAAGAACTTTCCAAAGACAAAATACTTCTTTGATACAGATCTGAAGGCCAACGACATCAGCTGCAGGAGCTGATCCCGGTTGTTCAAGTGAAGGTTTATGAGCCCGGAAGATTATGAGGATCCCTTAAGTGGCCAAGCCATGCTATTTAATTCTATTAATATCCCAGAGAGATCTGGAGGAAAAAACATAACACCACAGCCCAATCAGCTCTCGCTCCAGCTTCCTACCCTTTCCCAGCCTTCAAATACATACCTAGTGTCTCCTTCCTCTCTGCCGATCAACCTACCCCAACAGCCCATTTTACTGGCCAAGTCAGAAAGCAAGAAAAGCTGCAAAAACCACAGGATTTCACAAAGTGCTCTGAGCTTAACTCACAGCATGTTTCCACTCCGCGTCTTTCGCTTTTCCTTTCCTTGTGCCCTTAATGGCAGCTGAAACTCTTGGCAGCGGCTGAAGTGTTTTTTTTCCTTTCTTTCTTTTCTTTTTTTTTTTCTTCACATGACTTTTATCAGAGCTAATAAAGTTTCATCTGTTGCTTTCTTGAATGACAGGCTGCAGATAAAACCAGAGGGGCAGATCCACAGCGAGGGTTTTAAAAATAACCCTTAGTAAAATCAAGTAGCGGGGAAAATCCTAAATGTCTCTATTTCAGCATGCGTAACCAGATGGGTTAGACGCTTGGCATTTTCGTTCCCACAGCTAGCTGAGCTGGGTTCGTTTGAACTCTGATTTGTTTTTTGGCAGGGGCAATTTGATTTGTTGCCTAAACACAGGATAGTCAGTCAGGTTATGGTTCAAGGCATTGTGGGAACCCAGAAAAAGGGCTAACTTGGGGACCTGGAGTCATATTTGTCTTCGGGTTCTGTAATAGTATGTGGGAATGACCTTGGGAGACAGGAGGAAGAGCCGCAGCCTAAACAACCATCATGCAAATGGTGTCTCAACCCACAGAAGGAAAGGGGACGTGGGACATGTTTCAGAAGGGACCCCCCAGTTGGAAAGTAAAGGGAAGGGAGGGAAGAAGGGCTTTCAGACTTGCAAGGTTTTGTTACTGTAGCCTTACAACAGTGTTGTCCAAACTTGGCCACTTTAAGATGAGTGGACTTCAACTCCCAGAATTCCCCAGC